GAATGGTAAATCCGAAGTACGCAATTGTAGCCGGGCCTTTGCACCCTTGATGAGAAACCAAATAGACACATGATACAATCAATTTTTGTCATGCAAAAACCTCAATCACCGAGTCAAAAATCGACAATAGTAGAGACTTGAGATACTGGTAGACCAGGAGGAGCGGGCTGGACTCTGGAGCGGGAGGAGAGAACAAAAACGTTTGCATAATTTACTCTATTGACCAATTAGATCGCTCAATTTAAACTCATATAGCTTCTGACCAATCAGATTCGAGCTTTTTATCTATTGACCAATCAGATCATTCAATTTAAACTAATATAACTCCTGGCCAATCAGATTCGAGCTTCTAAATTCCACATAAGCTTTTATTGTATGGAAAAACTATTTGTTTCTTTATTTCTTTTCATACTAGTGATGTCTGGTCGCGCAATGCGCGACCCTGGCCCAGTATATCTGTAGAACTTAAAAATGTTTACATTTGAAAAAAAGTATTTTGTATTTGGTCCGATATATTTTAGAAATGATTGAAGAATTTAGAAATGTTTTATAAGTATGATCATAGAAATGTTTTATTTGGCAAAAAAAAAAAAATTGTATTTTGCCCGGTACCTTTTAGAAATATTCAAAGATTTTAGAAATCTTTTATAAGTGTTACTTATTAAATATAAATAAACTTGATCAAATATATGTCTTGAAGTAATATAAAAGCATCCTAATAAGTTTAAATATTAGTAAGATGATTTATTTATGTTCTTCGTTTGTCCTGCCGAATCAATACTTAATTTTGGAGATTTATAATAGTTTTGTAGTAAGTTTCCTCCGAAGGGTATACGTTTAATTGTTGGAACTGTTTCCTCCAAAGATTTATATATAGTAAAATATCAAAAATATGATTTTGAAACTGGTTAATTGTTGAAACTGGTTGATCACAAATATGAGAATGAAAATTAATATAAATTTGCATAGGTTTCAAGTTATAGCAAAAAAGAACTCACCTTACCATGGCAAATAAAAAAAAAGTAAGTAAAAGAACCATTAAAAATTAAGAAATTATTTTCTTTCCTGTAGGTAAAAATGATGTATAAAAACACAAATAAACATAGAAACATCATTCTTTCCCTCTCCACCTCAAATTCTTCTTCCCCATAAATTAGTTAGAAGAAGCGACCTGAACTATTTATATGATGAGGAACTCAAAACAGTTCAAAAACCAAATCAAAAAAAGTATATTCTTGAAAGCCCGAACACAAAAAAAAAGAAGAAAACAAAGTGCTTCATTTGCAAAAAGTAAAAATAAAAAAATTAATAATAATAATAATTGGTCAAGTGGGAGTATGAAATAAAATAAAAAATAATTAAATAAATAAAAAAACAATTCATAACAGACCATATATGAAAAAAACTGAGACTCCATAGCTAAAAAAAAAGAAACCACTCTAATTGAATGAAACATACAAAAGAAATTAAAAAATCACATTTTGTAACAAAAACCCAATTGATCAATTCAATCCAAACAGAACTAACATCATACAAAAATTCTAGGCTACCTAATCATATAAGAAATCACGCCATATTACCTAGCGACAGCTACAGTAACTGTAACGGGTGGACGCATAAAAATAATAGTAATAATACTATTCTTGAACGGCAAAAAGAAAACATAATAAAATCATTTAAATTTTAATATCTGTAATGGCACCACCACAACGGCCGAAGCAAGATCAATGAGAAATTTTTTTTTCCCTTTGTGTTTACATGGAGAGGAAAAGAGAATACTTTTTGAAGTCGAAATTTTATCCGATTATGATGTAGTTGATCATCACTAATGAAAAGATTGAACATGCTAATAGAAAGGAGTATATTCCACCACTTATTCTTAATTGATGATTGATGAGGAATTTGTTTTATATTTTTTTTATTGTGGAGAAGGAATTGATTAGGGAGTTGATTGTCGTAGAGATGGGGATGAGAATTTGGGATATTTATGAAGCCGTGTTTTTTTTTTTTTTTGCGAAAATAGGAGGTGGAGCTAGATTTGGACCGCATTTGCCTTTTAAGTTTAAGAAACTGATGTGTAAATAAAAATTTATTTTAAAAATATGATGTGGAGAAGCCACATGGCAAATGGTGGTGCTTTCTCTTAAGTGCGGTTTTTGTTTCTAATATAGTAAGATATGCTATCTCTTTCTTCCAATTTTATTTTTACTAGTATTGTACCCGTACTTTGCACGGTGAGGATAATCTTCGAAATATCTCATTGATATTAACTATGTAAAAAAAATTTAAATATTTGTATGAATTATGATTTAGTAAATATAATGTTTACTTTCTAATAAAACAATACCTCTGCAGCAAAAGTTTTTAGTTCATAAGAAGTATATAATATGGGAATAAATGACAAGTTGTCATCTTATATCTTAAAAAGCAAATATATATATATATATATATATATATATATATATAGTAATAAAAGCAATCATAGCAACATCATATATTCTTGAATATCTCGTAAACCACATTTATCATGCAAGAGCAAAATTCACCATCTTCGTTATAAATGAGGATTTTAAGACCTTTTTCGAACTTCACTTTGGGAAGGTCCTAAAGCTCTGGTAGATTAAAATCTGTAATGGTTTTGACTGCTACTTTAATATTTCTGACATCTTGTTCAACTAAAAAAACAAAAACTTGTCCAAAGAGAAATTCAGTTTGAATGGTATGACATGGTTTTAACTGTTATCTTAGTATTTTCGATAGCATGTTGGAAAAAATAAGAAAAAAAATAACTTTCTCAAGGGTATTTGTGTTACTTAATCCATAAAAAGTCAAATCGAACAATAATTTTGGGACAAAAGTTTTTTAACAAACTGGACAATAATTATTGAACGGAGAGAGTACTTAAAATGAGTAAAAAGCCTTAATCTGTTTCCCTCGTTATAAATAACTTCTCGAGGTCACTTGATATTTACATTAAATCATTTTCCTCGCATAGTGTCTTTGTCTAATATAAACTCTTCCATGCATGCTGCTTCAAACCCGCCTCACAATGCCAACTTTCCTTGCGTCTTTTGATTGCTGTGCATGGAAAGCAAACATTGTTCATTTGAATCAAGGCCTTTTAGCTGTCATAAGTTGTGCAAGTTTTAACTTCCACACATGGAAAAAAAATCACTGTATTGTGGAATAAAATTGTAAAGTGAGTATCTGGAGTGGAACAACCGGAAAAGACAGTTGACTCATAGTCTACATCCATTTCTTGTATCTCTTCCCTCTGTCTTTTAAGGGGGCGTTTTTTTTATTTTTTATTTTTTTGATAATGGGAAAGAAGGCCTTGATTACAATGAAATCAGAAATTTGGTTTACACATATATATATATATATATATTTTTTTTTTGTTTGGAAATTTGATAGATTATTAGTCCTAAAGTTTGTCTCATGATCATTGTTGTTCATCAACCAGATTTGAAGGAAATATGTAACATCTCGAACTTATATCTTCGTGCCAAACAAAAATCACTATAAATTATGCGCAATTGAGAATTTGATATCACCATAACAAAGACAATAAATAGTAAATATGAGGATAAAATAACTACTTTACATTTAAAAATTACAATTGAATGATCCACCAATAAGATAATGACATGCGTGAATGAAAGTTGTTAGTTTCCTAATTATCTGAGAAGTATCTTGAGAAAAAAATTACTTTAATATATAGAGATTTGAACATATAATCTGCACAGAATAAATGTCATTGTTGATATTGCTTTCCTTTTTTTCCCGCCCAATAAATATGAGGATAAATTACATAACTGAAGTTAAAAAAGTTGATTAGAAAATCATTAGGGTTTGGTAAGTACTTCTTGGCCTTTAACACCGCTAAAAGGAAAGGAAACGAATAAAAATACTGACATATGATTGTTGTGATACTTACTACACTAAAATATAAAAGGTGTATTCCTCGACTAAAATATATGTAGGCAATGGGAAGTAAACTTGAGACATGTTTGTCGTGAAGCAAATTTTGCTTCTGATTGTTTGGCTTCTGTAGCTATGAGCATGGATGGAGGTTTTCATCGATTTTTGGCACCCCCTTCTAGTCTACGTCCGTGGCTGGAACATGATGTAGTTTGTGTTTCTCACCCACGGTCCATTGTAATTTAAGGCGTTTATGCCTCTCTCTCATTGTACCATAATATATATATATATATATTTATATACAAAGGGTGTAAAAATATTCAGCAAATCTCTTATCTGGAAAAGCAATAAAATTCCTTTTTTTCCAAGCTTTGTTTGTCTCTCATATAACTAATAAGGAGCAGTAGCACTTGTAACTTCTCATCAATTTATATGTATTAGTTTCTTCACGGATCAGATTTGGGGCCAAAAAGAACCCCACTTTTCTCCAATGAAAAATGACAAGTTCGTGTATACTGTATATAATTATATATACATCGATGAATCAATTTTTATTCTACCTTTTAAAAAAGTACTCTTCTTGTTAAGGTCTAAAAAGGAGTTAGGACAATGGACTTAAAAAAATCAAGGAAAAAAAAAAGATACCTTGTTTTCTTCCTGATGATGTCCAATTACAGTTTTGTCAAATTAGAGTTCTTCCTCACCTCAGTTAACTCCATAGCATAGATGTAAAAATTTAAGTAATTGGCAACGACAGCAATCAAGCTTCATTTTCATGTCTGGAGGACAAAACAACAAACCTCTCTTCCAAGTCTTCACAATTTTCCTGTAGTAATCCTTCATCTGCACAACTCTATTTAGATCATCCATAATCATAGCCTTCATCTTTGAGTCCCTAGCCAAAGTATCAAAAGTAGTAGGATTATCAAGACTCGTAGAAATTCGTGGAGGTGGCAGGCCGTGGGCGAGGGCGGTAGAGCGAGAGGGGAGAAATAGAGATATCTGGACAGACTGACAGAGGAGCGGAGCAGACTTCATCGTTAACCAATTGAACCATTATAAATTTTATTATCTCCCTTCTAACTTACGTTATCACTAAGGGAAGTTGGAGTCTGATGCAGAACTGGACTGAAACTGCTTGTCCCTGGAGAAATGGAGCTCATTTGTACCGTGGATTGGCCTCCAAAACTACCATGCTGGCCTCCAATCAACTCAATATTTAAAGGGTCATGCTTTATCGTATCAGAGTGTGCACCTTCAGATACAGATTCAGAAGATGGAGGGATCCATGAAAGAGGGGGGATCAAATGGACAAATACTTTTATCCCCTGAATTTCATTCAGAAAATCAAAATGATATGGATGGACTATGCAAAATGATACCGTCTCAAAAAATGTTAATCAGATCGTTAAAACTTCAAGAATGTAAACCGGTTTTGAGAGTTAATGCCTTCGATATCCCACAAAAACCTAAAGATAAAGAAATCAGGATTATACACAAAAGATAAAGGGAAAAAGTGATACCTCTGCATCTGTCCCATACAGCGTTACACGATAACCAACTGAAACAGACTTCCCATCAGCAGAATGAATGATGTTGCGCACCTCACCAGACCACTCCAGAGCATGTAAATTCATAATCCGATTAACTATGTTCCTGATAATCATAGGCAAATTTAAAAGAAGTAAGCAATTATAAGGAGGAACAGGATTTCTCAAGCATAACAAACTCGAAAATCAACAAATCAATCATTCACCATAAAACAGTTTATAATACATTATACCAATAAACCATAAACGGAAAATAAACAGCATCTGGGGATGTATACCTCACTGGAAAAAAGAATTCTTCCTCGCCCTTCTTATCCGATGATGACAAGAAGTCATTGTAGTAATCGAAAGTCTGAACTTTGTGTTCCAATACATGATGATCTCCAGTTTCCAGAATCGGAAACATTAAGAGCCGGATTATAGATAAACCAAAATATGTAAATACTGTCAACCAATAAGTGAACACATAGAACCCTAAAGGCTATGATCAATATTTGAACCAAAAATTCAGAAAATTAGCACACCCAATATGACGATTTAGTCCATTAGATCCAAGGTCCATATTTTCCAATTGAAAGCCTGTTCTTCCAACCCCTCAACAATCCAGAACCTACTCCCTTAAGGCATGAGTGACAACGAGGTTGCGGTAATGGTTGCTGTGGCTGTGGCCGTGGAGCCAGAGTAGAAAACTAAAAGCTACACAAACGTAGTAGTAGCGATCAGATGATGATGATGAAAAAAATAAAAATAAATATAAAATAAAGAGATAAAGTTGTTTTTGTAGCTATGATGGTCACCTCTCCGAGGGCTTTCTTGTTGGTGAGGAAGTCTAGAGTCATCTTGGAATCGTACCGCTGATCAATGACTTGACGGGAGGACTTCTTCATGGTGGAAGCGGCGGCCAGAGGAGGAGTTTGAGTTTGGAGAGGAAACCAGAATAAGCAGATTAATGAAGCCGGCTGCGAGTTGTTTATCGGCGGAAAGGATACCTGATGATATCTGTAGCAGATGTTTTGGGATTATTTCTTTTTAAATTAAAAAATCAAATCTCCACGGATTATAAGGCGGGATAGAGATCAGTTAACAAACGTTATCAATAAGTCAAAATCTTGAAACTTAACTATGATGGGGAATGTCAAATCTTTTCCATCTATTTTTAGTTTAATGTTTAATTTTCAAAACAAAACCGATCAGGCTAATTGCTGCTGCTAGAAAAGCCCGACTTGCTTGAAAAAATTTCAGGAATTGGCCTCCGTTCATCAGAAATTTCAGCCATCGAAATTCCTGAAATACCAAAGATGAGGTCGACATCAGTGCTGATTTTTCAGGCAACATCCTTAGAGATGTCACCACCATGTGCTTTATGGAATGGATTTGCTCGTGCTTTATCGAATGGTGGGATTTCGACGACATAAGAATCATATCAGATTCATCATCTATACCAGGAATTTAGAAGGATACAGTCAGCCATTGATGTCTTTTCCGGCAACGAAACGAAAGATAATAGGCCGACAACAATTATTTTCAGGTAGCGATGATATCAAATTTGCCATCGTTGTGGCCAGTGATACGGTGGCCGGAGAAAATTTTTCGGTCAATTTTAGATTGTTGCCGTCAATCTTTTACTTCGAAGGAAGTGATTTTTTATATAAATTAACCATTTTACTGGGTATAAAATAACCATCTTACCTGTATGAAATACACAGCAAAAAAATTAATAAATTAGAAGATGACATATGTACTCCAAAAAATTCTCCTCGAATGAAACGTTGACACGTGGTTTTCGAAATTATTGATGGTCTAATTAAGTGGCATGTGTCTTGTGAGAAAAATTCCTTTAATATATATTAAGATTTCGCGTTTGAAAGAAAAATTAAGTTCATGACGTAATGGTTAATTAAATAAATTAAATTTTAATGGCGTGGCCAGGTTTTAGACTAATCTGGAGAAAGTTTACAGAATCAACAAATACTAGGAAAGGAGACGAACTAGAGGCCAATTGAACGATGATCAAAGCGGATTGATTTCAACCGGGAGGTTTCATATCTGAAAGTAAAAAGATTGTAGATTAAACATGACAAAGAACAAATATAGTGCAAGGTGTTAATTTTATATATTTATATTATTGGCTCCTTATTCGACAAAAAATCTATTTTCTTACAAAACTGTCAAACAATTCTCTATATTAATACACATATGTATTTTTTTTTCTTTTGATAATTATGCATTATTTTTTCATTTAATAAATATACTAAAACACCGGCGAACACCCGGGCCAAGCATCTAGTTTCAACTTTAACACAATCATAATCTAAAATCTCACGCAACATAAACTAAATATCAGGGCATTACTAGAGTACATTCTAAATAGAGCCAACCAAAAGAACCACTTAGCCTCAATGAATAACATCATCATATGGAACATTAGGGGGTTTACTAACCCCCTGAAGCATAGGGAGGTCCTCCATCACCTCTCTATGAATAATGTGGGATTAATAGGGTTAGTGGAGACTAAAATCACTGACGAAGTACTTCTACAACTAAAAAGCAAGGAATGGAGTAAGTATGACTTATATAGTAATCACTCACCCAATAAGAAGGGGAGAATCATGATCTGCTGGAAGGTAGAGGATTACAAGGTGGATATAATACAGGTGCATGAACAATTTGTGCACTACAAAGTTAAGGAGTATGTGAGGAAGCTGGAATATGAACTTACAGTGGTATATGCAGAAAATCAGGCAGAAAAAAGAAGAGGTTTGTGGGATGGAATCATTACTCTGGCATCTCAGGTTACTGATGCATGGATGGTAGCTGGTGATTTCAACTGTTTATTGGATGCCAGGGAGAAGTTGGGAGGAAATGCAGCTAATACAAATGACATTCAACAATTTAAATATGTGGTGCGACAGTGTCAACTAGAAGAGATGAAAACATATGCGGGACTATACACATGGTGCAATAAGCAGAAAGGGGAACGAAGAATCTGCTCTAGATTGGATCGAGTTCTTATCAACGAGGAATGGCTGACCCAGTTTGCGGATGCTACGGCCACTGTGTTACCAGAAGGAGTCTCAGACCACACTCCTCTACTGGTTAAATGGAATGAAGGAAGCATAAAGAAAAAACAGCCTTCAAATATTACAATATGTGGGCTGATCACCCGGATTTTCTGAGATTGATTCAGCAAGTATGGGATGAAAGGGTCAAAGGATATCACCACTACTGTATTTCTCAGAAGCAAAAGAGGTTAAAGAAGCTACTCAGACGGCTTAATCAGCAGCATTTTTCAAACATTGACCAACAAGTGTAGAAGTGTAAGGAAGATATGGAAAGATTACAGAAGGATTTGGTGCAACAACCATAGAATGAAGAGCTGCAACTCAAGGAAAAACTGGCATCAGACTTGCTTATGGAAAAAAGTAAGGCTGCTTATAGTTTTTGGAAACAGAAGGCAAAGGAAAAGTGGGTTCAAGAAGGGGACCTTAACACTGCATACTTTCATGCAGTTGTAAAGCAAATTCTGGGTTCAAGAAGGAAACAGAATTCTGGCTTATACAACACCTGAGGGGGACATTGTAGAAGACTTGAATAAGGTTGAAAGCCATTTTCTGAATTATTACAGAAACCTCCTGGGGAAGGAAGAGGAAAGAATGATCTCAGAGCAAGATGTTTTTACTGCGGGTCCTCTACTGACACTTAATCAGAAAGTTGGACTGTTAGCGGATTGTTCGAAAAAGGAGGTTAAAACTGCAATGATTTCCATTGATAAAACCAAGTTTCCTGGGCTAGATGGCTATGCCAGTGGATTTTTTCAAAGAGCATGGAACATAATTGGGAAGGAATGGAATGCAATGGAATGCCACAGTGATCTCTCTCTCCCTAAGACACTTATACCAAGAGACACAACGGAGTACAGACCCATCTCCTGCTGCACTACTCCATATAAGTGCCTGTCAAAAATACTCAGCAACAGATTGGGAGAGGTTCTACCCAGTTTGATCAATGAGAATCAAGGGGCCTTTGTGAATAATCGTTCCATCCTTCATAACGTACTTCTGACTCAAGAACTTATCAAGATCTACAACAGGAAAATGACCTCCCCCATATGCATTATGAAAGTAGATATTAGAAAGGCCTTTGATTCAGTCTCCTGGGCATTTATAGAAGAAATGATGACGTACTTTGGATTCCCTGGCAGATTTATGTAATGGATTATGAAGTGTATAACAACGAGCTGTTACACCCTCAATCTGAAAGGCTACTATGTTGGATATTTCCAAGGTAAAATGGGTCTGCGTCAAGGAGGTCCCCTCTCTCCCTTACTTTTTGTAATGTGCATGGAGTACGTCACCAGGAAATTTCAAAAAGAAGCTGCAAAACCTGGGTTTAAATTCCATCCCCACCGTAGGAGGCTCAAAATTACAAATCTTAGCTTTGCCGACGATTTGATAATTAGGTGTAAGGCTGAAGTTGAAGTTAGAAGGGTAAAGTCAATGCTGGATCAATTTGCTCAAATAACAGGCTTGACAGCAAACTTGCACAAATTGAGTATCTACTGTGGTGGAGTTAAGGACCAGGAATTGGATGCAATTTATAAGGTTTGTGGTTTTCTAAAGGGAGAATTCCCCATGAGGTATCTTGGTGTCCCCCTCTCCCCAACTAAATGGAGGGAAGAAGATTGCCAGATCCTGATCAACAAGGTGGCAAGCAGGATAAGCAGTTGGACTTCAAAGCATTTGTCATATGCTGGTAGAGTTCAACTTGCTAATTCTGTCTTGTTAACTATGCACACATATTCAGCCGGAATATTCATTTAAGCACAAGCGCAGATATAGCAAGTAACTAGAATTTGCAAAGAGTACATTTGGAGTAAGAAGAAAGATGGCAGGGCTCATCCTTTGATAGCTTGGGACTTAGTATACAGGCCAAAGACACAAGGAGGTCTCAATATCAAAGACCCTGGCCTTTGGAATGTTGCGGCTATTGGAAAACAAGTTTGGGAACTTGCTTTGAAGAAAGATTGCCTTTGGGTCAAATGGGCTCATGAAGTTTACATTAAAAATCATAGCTTCTGGGATCTGCAAATTAAGCCATACTCTAGCTGGCACTGAGGCTATATTGAAGGTAAGGGACAAACTTAAACTTGGAATGCAGGTAAATGAGGGGAGAGCCATCCTTCTGCACAATATTCAATCAGTTCAGGCTATAAAGGGCTCCAAGGAGACCAACCAAAAATGAGAGAAGCTGAGATTATCTGGAACAGATTCAGCCTGCCAAAGCATAGCTTCATCTCATGGATTGCTTGGCACAAAAAATTGTGGACTCAGAACAGAATGGCGGAACAGATTCAACCTGCCAAAACATAGCTTCATCTCATGGATTGTTTGACACAAAAAATTGTGGGCTCAGAACAGAATATGGCATCTGAACTTGCTGAGTGGAAATCCTCAGTGAGTTATCTCAGGCACAAGTAGAATCGGAGGAGCACCTTTTCTTCAGTTATGCTGATCAGCTTCTACACCACCTGGAAAGCTGGATTGGAATTGAATCTTTACCAAGACACATGAATGCATGTCAAAAGAGACTGAGGAAGGTATGTAAATACAACAAGCTGAAGAGGGGGATATTATTTGCAGCCATCAATGCTTGTATGTATCATGTATGCCAGGAAAGAAATCAAAGAAAGTTTGTTGGGCGGCAAATGGAAACAAAATTGAGAGCTGAGAAGATAAATCAAGAGATATTATGGAAGCTAAAAGCTTGTTGTAATAGGCTCAAAATAGGTGATAGAGCTTTTTTATCCATATAGGATATGATGAAACAGTGATGATAGAAATATAGACAGAATTGCAAACGATCTGAGTATGATGTAATTGATGTTTGTCAGTTTTGGCAATAAAATTTTACATTTTTACAAAAAAAAAAAAAAAGAACCACCCTGAGCGTCACATAAATATAGTCCGAGTAAATCCCTCAGGTCCACCACAGGCCATAAAACTACATCAGTAAACGAAGGCAAACAAACAAGAAAGAAGCCACCACCACATCATTCGGTTTTCATATCTTAAATCATACATAAAAACAGTTTGTGCCCCTCTGCTTAAGAAAATTGGTGATAAAAACGCTTTTCTAACTCAACAGCTTCATTCAAGTACTTTTCTTGCCATTCTCTTATACCCTCGCTCACGATTCCATGTTTAACCCGATCACTTCCAACGTGGAAAACTAAATACAGGAAAAAGAAAATATTCATTAGGAAAGGGAGACGGATATATATATATATATATATATATATATATATATATATATATATATATATATATTTAATAGAAGTGGCCAGGAAATCACAAACATACCACTGCAAAATTCCCCATGACAAGAAACTAATAAAGCACCATGACACAGTGCAGCTCGGGCCAACTTTATCGCATCAGTCACGGACAAGTTATAACAGGCTGAATTACCTGAACCCATCTTTGAGCGCAAACTGTTTTGAGTGTGACTATAGACGAAAAAACAGAAATAGGTGCATAAGATACTTCTTCTGTAAAATCAGACGAAATCTCAAAAACCTGATCAGAAAATAGAACCTAACACAAATTGGAAAGTAAAAAAATATATATAGCCTGATGCATCATAAACGTTGAAAAAAGGCAAGCACTAACAATGTTGCCCGTTAACCAAAAGTAAATATAGGGAAAAGGGCCATACATGACAAAATGAGAACATCCGTGTGTAGCATTTCCAGAGCCAAATGATGGTCTATTCAACAGTGTCCCTTTAGCATTCACCTTATACAAGGCCGGTCCCTACAGGCAAACAAACCATGATCCGTGTTGAATAAAAGTCAGTCTGGAAAAATAAAAAAGAAAAGGCCATCCTAAGATTTACCGATTCGCTGTCCCACCCAGTGATTAGCCCATCTAGAGACAAGAGGGGATCAGAGCAAGGATTACAAGCCAGATGGTCAGCCAGCCACTTCGATGTCTCAGCAGCAGAAGCTCTTCTCCCTTCTTCGAGTTCAAAACGCCGACACTAAAGCACATACAATGTCCACAAGAATTAAAACAGACAATCTTTCTTAGATGTGCAGTTGAGCCATTCTAAAGCAAGATATAACATTCACAATGTACAGTAACGCCAAGTACCTTAAGCTAAAGAAGATGAACCAAACCTTGGCACTGAAATTTGTCAACTCCACAAATTAACCATGGCAAACAGATGCGAATTAAGTAGCCTGTCATTTTCTGGATATAATTTGTTTGAATGATCAAGGGATACTATAATCCCTTCATCCTTGAAAACAAAACCTAATGCTGTTCCCTTTCGATACTTAAGATCATCACCACCATTCATCTATAAACAAACCAACCACCAAAAATAAATAAATACAAAGATCAAATCAAACAAGAAAGACCCCCCCAAATCCCCCAACTTGAAAAGATCACCATGCGCAATTTCAAAAGATTGACCATGTGCGTGTAATTAATTACCAGTGAGCTGGCTATCCCACAATCTGCTGCTTTAACAGCTCTCTAGCTTTGAGCAAGTGCTTCATTAGAGAGCCACGATGTAACACCACTAGTTCCAACATGGAAAACTTGAATATAGGAAAAACGAAGATAGTTTCCAGGCGTGAAAAATGATATAAGAACGAATGCGGACAAGAGATCACAAACTTACCCCTGAAACATTCACCACTTCAAGGAGCTGCACGTAGACCATGATAGAGTGCATCCCTGGCCAACTCGGTAGCACGAGTAGCAGTAACGAACATGTTGGAAAGGCACAATGCAAAAAAACTGGTCAGAAAAGAGTCAGACACACATTAATGTAGATGCATCAGGAAGGCAAGGTATCAATTCCTAAATTTAAAAGGAAGACCATGTTCATAAGTTAATAGCTACAGCTAATCATATAGGGAAAAGGAGCATACCCCTCAAATGGAACAGACCCACTATCCAATGAAGCAGACCCACTAGCAAGTAATAGTTTATTACTGACAGTTCCCCCAGTTTCCCCTTGGCGTCCACTTTATACAGTTGAGGTCCCTACAGAAAAATAAGCCGTGCTGAGTGTTCAGATTCGGGGGGAAATCAAAAGGAGAGGAACCAAAAAAAAAAAAGAGCATTCTCGAATTTACCAATTCATTCTCCCACCCAGCGAGCAGTATGCCGAGTGGCAAACAGTCATCAATGCAAGGATGTCTACACAGAAAGTCAACAAGCATCATCGATGCTTCTGCAGCAGATGCTTTTCTCCCTTCCATGAGTTCATAAATCTGGCACTAAAACAAATCCAAAGCCCAGATGAATTAAAACAGCCAATCTTTCTTGGGATGCACAAAGGTTTGACAATGTATACTAGCAACAAGTACCTCCGTCTCTAGAATACTGAGCAACAGTTTGCACTGAAATTGGGTCCCTCCAGAAACGGCTACAAGCAGATGCGAATTAAGTAACATAACATTTTCGGGGTATTCGCCAGAAGATATGCTTGAATGACTAAGGGAAACTACAACCCCCTCATCCTTCAAAATAAAAGCCAATGCCATAGCACCATTGTCATACTTAGGATAGCGAATACATATCTGAAAGCAGCACAACAACAAAAGAATAAATAAACAAATCAAACCAAACAGAAAAAGAGCAGCAAAAAAAAAAAAATCTATTTCAAACTATTTCCAAACATTAACTAATTATTACTAGAAAAAAAAAAAGAAGAAAAAACACTAACGCTCGATGATGAAGATGGCTGTGTAGCGGGAAGGCCATGGACGGGAGCGGTCAGCAAAGGGATACTCTTCGAATTCATTGTTCCCACCTTCAAAACAAAAATAAAATAAAGCCGATTTAATTGAGATCCATAACCATTCGCGCTAGGTTCGCAATAAAGAATTCATATGAAAAATCGAACCGGAAAAAAGAGACCCAGATCGAAGAAAATTGAACAGGGCATTTACCTGAACTTTTTGCCGCTTGTGGAGAAGGTTCAGTTCACAGGAGACTGTTACAACCGAACTCATCATCAGTCTAGATTCTTTAGAATATAATATGGTTGTTTTTTCACATTCCATTACGTAGGATAGAGTAGAACATGTTTTTCTAGATATTGTTGAGAAATTATGAGTGTCATAAGAATTTACATTATTCTCTAGATTTATGATCTTTGACCTCCATAATCTCATGTTCGAATAAAAATTGACAGCATGTAATTTTTTATAATTTTCACATCTTCATGTATCAATACCAAAGTCACATACTAATCTACAAAACCTAAAACTTCATAAAGATAATTAAAAATACAATAAAATATGCATCAAAAGAGAGTTATATGTAAGGAGAAAGTTATCCCAAAAAATAGATTGTTTGTGAAATACGATCATTATATGGCACAAAAAAAGAACTTATTATAACGGTTTAGAACGATAGGGATTATAGCAGAGGCTACAATCTGAATTATCTCAAGTCCCTACAATCTGATGTTTATCTGAATATTTAAAGAAACTACATTGCATAATTTTCATATTCTTAGAAAGTAGAAAATACTTCTTCTGTCATTGAAAAATAGTCTAGTTTTAGAAGTTAAATTTTAGATTTTTTTTCTTATAAATGTTAATATAAAATTGATAAATAGGCATTCTACTTTATTCCAAAATTTTATAATAACTGTTCTATTTGAAAGATTAAGCCAACCAAATTTTCCGAATCGGACTTGCTTTTTTTTTTTCTTCGATTGGAGATGGCACCGTTTATAAAAAGATGCAAACTTTTGGTTATGAAAGTACTTTTAGAATTTGAAGTCACGAAATTTTGTGCAGTTTTATTTTCCTTTTCTAATTTTTTTTTATGTAACTAGAAGTTTGTAGCATAATTTTCATTCTCAAGTTTTTCAGATTTCAATGAATCTAAAATTCCTTCATTTATCTAATGTAACCAAAACTGCATATAGTATAATTTTCATTCTCTAGATTTTCAAATGCAAATGGCATGGATTTCTCTTTTTATTTTACCTGTTCAAGAACTCCGAGCATCATTTACCTCCCAAAAAAATCATGTATTAGTATGAATGGATCGGTTTCATTTCCAGATCAATTTTATACTGACCCACAATTTACTCAAAAAATCAACACCAAATAGTGCAAATGAAGTTCTTCTGCATAAGTGATCACCACAACCCATCTATAAATATATGGCAGATGATGATAATGAAAAATCATTCTCCTGCTAGAAAGTTAGGAAGGCCCCAGCCTCCATGTCTTGAGAAATAGTCATTATCTAGAGAGATAGCCAGGATGCTTCACAATCTCTATCCTCTACACAATAGGAGCAAGATGTGCCTCCTCTATCAATAGGTTCACTCATCAGTGGTTGCCTCAAGGCTCAAAGGACGCTTTGCCCCATCATATGAATCAGAATGAAATAATTATTATCCATTAAAGAATCAAACAAATAAAGATGCAGACAATTGTAACTCTATGCTGCTAGAACTTTTAGGTAATAGCTCCTAACTTTTTGATACTTGCATAAGGTTAAAAACGTTTAATAAATACAAATCCTAAATTCAATTGTGATTTAGGCATGAAGCGAAAAATCCAATTTTCTTTCTTTATATAAAGATTTTAGGCTTGCATCTTAGACCAACTCTATGGTGAAAATAACAAACAATTTGAGATTCCTAAAATAAAAAACTTGAGTCCAAATTATGCAATTTCTATAATTTTTTTTTTTTGAAAGTTCATATATTAAAATTTAAGAAAATGTTTACAAGTTTAAGCCCGCAGCTATAGAGACCTTAGCCATTTTGTGAACATTTTCAACAATAAATGTACCAACTTTGGTGAAGTTACAATATGGGATCAATTGAGAAAGAGTTTTGATGTCTTTGAGAAGGCCATTAACATGGTAAGGAACCTTTCCGCCCTTTTCTATGGTATCTGCTATGATCTTGCTATCGGTCTGCACTTGACATGAAGTTATGCCTTTGTCGATGCATGCTTGCAAACCCATTAGATACGCCCTCGCTTCTGCCATGATCGGGAAAGATGAGTAGAAAGTTCAGTAACCGTGTGTTACATAATTTCTTGTTGTTGTTAAGATTTCCCACGTTGAGGCTCCTTTTTTCTGTGGGTCTTGAAAAGCTACATCGACTCTAGCTATGAAATCATATTCAGATTGTGCTTCAACCAGAGTCTGTAATTGGCGTACTTCATATGCAATTTCTATAATTTTCAAATAGTCACGGTAACCAACAGATCAATCAATCAAATAAAAGAAATGCAAAATTCGTTCTCATAGCGAATAGGGGGGGGGGAATTTGTACATTTGTTGAGCAACAATAAAAAAAGCATGCCTAACATTTAAGATATAATGCATGATCACGAATTAATGATTCTTATTGGATAGCAAAATGTTGTTCCTTGAAACACCCATACAAATTAGTTATAATATATAGACCAAAGAAACTGCATAAGAATACTCGCGTTAGCCGTAAATGATTCTTCATTTGCTCCCATCAATCCTTATATTGACATTTCAAGTTCAAAATCAAACCTTCAAAGTAACCATAATCGGGAAGCCTCTTTTTTCAGCTCAAAAAATAAAAAATTTCATGAGCTATTAACCAAACACAACAATGAAACAAAATTACCAAAAGATGAGAGCGAAAAGGAACTTTGATCAATGGGATAACCAAAAAAGGGTTCAAATGAAAGAACGGTGTAAAAAGAAACAAAGAAAAAAAGTGTGTATGCATGGGTGCTACAGTACTAAAGTCATCTCCTTCTAAAGAAAGGTATAGATTTGTATAAAATAGTATTAATTGATTATCCACCTTTATTATGGGATAAGATTACAAACAGAAATTTTCAAAAAACCCAATCTATAAATTTGGGTGGTATATTCCACATTAAAAGTCACAAATTTTAGTCATCATATTTGATAATTTGAAAAGATTGTTAGTGATTAAATCAGTTTGGATTTCAATTGCTATATTATAATCTAGATAATATTAGGGATTCTTGAGATTTTAAACACTGAAAATTAAATTCAACTTCAAAATTGGGATATGATATGAAGGGGTTGATCTGATCATTCTGTTTAGATTTGGTGAATCAAATCATGGAATGAAAATTATAACCATTGACAGAAAAATAGTAAACATGTTCTTCTCTCTCTTTTTTTTCCCTTTTTAATAAATAAAAAATAGAGAAAATTGCTAGTCCTACATGACAAGTAGAAAACTATCTCTGTTTTCTCTCTCTGGGTTTTCTATTATTAAGTTATTAGATGAATGCACTGATACATGACTTATGCATCACAATTATTAACAACGGTGATGCACAAAAGTAGCATACGTCAGACACTAAAATAATAGGATTAAGAGCATCTCAAATCATTGCATTATAATTTACACTAAATTTGGTGTAAAAATAAAATATTTCAAGCACATTTGTACACTAAAGTTCTTAGCCCTCCAAACTTAATGCACCAAAAGGTCTAAGTGTTAACTGTTTTTAGTTTAAATTTTATCTTAGTGGTTGATTAAAATCTTGTAATTTGGTATGGTTTAATTTTAAATCACTTTTTTTTTATTCTAGAAATAAGAAAATTTTCTACTTTTTCCATATTCTAGTTTAAGAATGACTAAAAATGAATTTTACTTTTAAAATAAATTTTTATATTCATTATGGATCGTATTTTGTAGATCTCAAGAAAATATTTAATACATAATTTTCACCACATAATTTATTTTATAAGTTTAACTATATAGCAAATATGTAATAGATCAAAGTAAAATATAGGGCACAAAAAATAGTGTAGTTGATATTTTACACCATATTTGGTGTAACACTATTCACTGCACTAAGATAGTGCATTGATTTAGTGTCTTCGTTGGAGTGCAATGTTTATACCAAAACACCAAATTTAGTGTCTTGGTGTGTTCGTTGGAGATGCTCTAATATCAGTCAGTGAGGCAAACACCAAAATACACCAATATCAATATAGTATTCAATAGTAAATAGGAATTCCATAATTTCAGCTTTTACTTAATCGGTTGTGAAAGTCAATTATTTTCGGTTTTTTATTTTTGTAAAATTATAGTATCTGTGTATCTGCTTTATTCAAACAATGAGGAAGATCAAAATAGAACATTTACCTTTTTTACAAACATACCACAATCAATTACAATTGATTTATTTTACATATAAAACTCTTCTTGACTGATTTCTGAAATTAAAGGATGAAATAATCAATGAATCAATTTCTT